AACACGCCTTGCACACTACTTTAACTTACAAAGATGGAGCCATCTCCCCATTTGGTATCACAGCAGCTATCCTATCAACACAAGCCAGCTGAGAACAGCCAGAATAAAATGCAGTTTTCTTGCCCCAGTAGGCACAAAGTGTGATGAAAGAAAATTTGCGCTGCTTTCTTGGACTCAAAAAGTTAAAACACAGGAATTCTCTGAAGTGAGAGAATCTGAAGTTCCCTAAGAGAATAGCTATCAAAAGCTCCATTAGGAGTCTCTCTAAACTGTCCCCCTCACTCTCCAGGCTAATGAGCCCCCACTGCCATTTATATTTAGAAATACGCTGGGAGAAAGAAAAGAGAGAGCACACATCTGAATGCTGGAGGTCTCTCTCATCCCTATGCATGAATCAGTGCAGGACAGGATTGTCACCTGCATCTTCTGCTCTGTCTCCTAAAGGGACAGACCCCCACCAACTATTCATTTTCCCCAGGGTAGGGGGTAGGATGGGAGGTTCACAAAGAACAAAGAATGGTGACTTTCTTTCCAACTGTCAAGGACAGATGTAGTAAAAATACCTGCATTGGAATGTTCACCCACTTTGCAACACCAAACTACAAACAGGTACACTGAATGACAATTTCAAACCTCTTAAGTCTACACAAAGATGTATTAAATGAACGTGGGAATGAATCTATTAAAGAAAGCCTATGTGATTGATTACACTCACATGTGCTCTCATCTTTAAAACTACATTTATTTAAAGGTTGAATCCTGTAACAAAAAGCTGGATAGTAGTGGCAGTCACAATTTTTTTTTTCATCTATCAAGTCACTGTTTCAAATAAAGAGATTTACGGTAACTGAAGAACACACAAATCACATACAAAAAAAAAAAAAGCCAGCTATTTTATCCTTTCCGTGTGGTTAGCAAGGCTCCTTTGTGTCTACAAATTTCCCTGGGTGGTGCTGTTGCCAAGAAATTCTAATTCATGAGAAGGGTTTCTGAAAATTGGGGACAGAGGGAAACCTGCGGATGGACGGACCCTACAGTTCGCTTTGTCTTTCTGGATAAGACAAGCACCTAGCTGCTCAGACCTGAAGAAGGCAGTGCAAATGCAAGATCACCACATGGAAGAAGCAATGTGCCTTACAGACCAAGTCTCATCCCTGGTACCATGAAGCTATTCTTGCAAGGCAAACATTTCTGGAGGTTGTCCTCTAGTGATGCCTCGTACCATAGGCCCTTGTAAGAAGTGTTTCAGGATGCCTGAAACCAAGATAAAATTGCAGTGCTATGGGGACACTTCAGCCCTTACAGTAGCCAAGTATGCCATTAGTTTAAAACAATGGAGGAATGAGGGAGGAGGGAGGAATGTTCTATGATTTATTTATTTGTTTCCAGTAGCAGTGGAAAATTTTCTCCGAGGAGAAGGGAGGCCTGAAACTGACCCCATCTGCCAATTGTGAATCAGCATTAATAATGAGCATAATTCCATAAGAGTTTTTAAATAAACATGCCATAATCCTCAATGAAGTGAAGCAACGGTAAGTTCAAGTAAGATTTTGTACATTGTTATTTGACCAACACTCACAAAATAGCAGTTTCACTATTAAGAATACATAAAAATTCTAAGTCTTTGTAGAGTATTGTATCAAATGCCTTTTATTTCCCAAACCAGAAGTAGGGTTAAAAATAATTCACAACGTGTAAGAACCTCTCTTCCTTTATCCATCACCAAATGTCATCCTAAAAGCCACTCCAGCCTCTGTCCTACCCTTGACTTTTTCCTACTTTTGCTAAGACAGCTCTTGGAAAATTTCCTGCATGTTTCCATAGAGCTTAAGGTTGGAGGCCTTAAGAGTTGTGTGTCAGCTGAATTCCATAAAATAATAGACCACATAAGCACAGTGTAATTTACAGTTATATGACAGGCAGAGATGATGTTACTTGGGCCAAGTGCTTAAGCATGCAGTCAGAGCAGGAATGGAGAGCTGTTAATGTGGGGTGTCTGTTTGGATTTTAAAAGCATATCAGCAAGGCTTTTCAAAATCGGAGCCACATGTGGCTAATGCATCGCTGCCTGAAAATCCAATGTCAAGATGATGAGCTCCGTGACAGGAGGTAGCCCTGTCACAGTTACTTTGTCATAGGCTCACCGACTATGAAGGACAGTTATCCTATATCATAAGTGTAATATAAAATCCCCCAATAGTCTATCTTCAATTTGCACAGATGGTCCAGCGTTTATCAGTGAAGCCACTCTTTCTCTAGAAATCAAATCAGATTATCGGAAGCTCCATATTTTGCTCATCTTCCTGAGTCCAGGTATATCATTCATTTTAAGAAGAAGATCTAATAATTACTCTTCATTTGACCTTAACAAACTGATTATCCCAAACCATCAGGAAACTTGCCCCTGCCTGGGGTTCTTTGTGGCAACCTTCTCAAGCTGTTTTGAGCAGAGTCTCAAAATTTCACCATCTGATGGTTGGTCTGGAACAGTTGCATTTAACCACTACTACCCCTTACACTCAAAAGCAGCAAGGGGAATTGGGGAGGGGAAGGGAGGAAGAGATAGAAGCTAGAGGTTTTCGTTATCACTGTTAGCTTATGGTCCTCATCACCTTTATGTCTCACAGCTGTGACTGTGGAGTTCCGAGCAGAAGGCTCCTGAGACTGGTATGTTGCACTTCTAAGTGCCTCCGCACAAGCTGTATTTCAGAAAGAACTGAAATAAGCATGCTTCTAACATAATTTGGCCAAAGGCTTTAAGGTAGAAATGCCTGGTAGTTGGAATGGGGCTGGGAGACCAATGTAAGATACAAGGAGTGGATTCACATGGATGTGAAAATCTCTGCCTGGCCAGAGATGCTAAGCTAGATGTTCTTGTAAGTGGGGTCAGAGGTGGATGAGGGGGCCGGGGGGGGGGGGGGGAAGGAGGAAGGAGAAGGAAGCACAGAAGGGATTCTGAGGAAACAATGGATGGAAGGCATCCTCTGATTGTCAAGCTCATGCTGGTGCCTTGCAGATCTAGAGTTTCTCCTAGATCTCCCCAGCCAGATCTAGAAAAGCAGGTCTTCTCAAGAGAGGCCTTCCCCCAAGCTGGGCTTTACTAACTCTGAAAACTTGAACCAAAACAAAGTTGTGTGATTCATCAGGAGGGAACGCTGAAATAAATAAAGCCAAATTTCTTCCCTTGGACACTGTTGTGCTTAACAGTCACAAACAAGGGCTGCCTCGGGCAGGCTGACTAAACCAGCAGATTCCCTTCCCTAACCTGTCTAGACAGTTGTTAATACGCAACTAATGTGACACCCCTGAGCTGACAGTGTGAAATAGAGACTATTTCAGAAAATGAAATTCTGGCAACATTTTGGTCTAATTAGCATGTGGATAAAAAGAAGAGGAAAAAGATGGATGGAGTGAGTCTCTTCAGATACAGTCTTGTTAAAGATGCACTCAAGACATGCTTTACACTAAAAATGTATCAATGGTGCATGGTTACAGAGACCTAAGTCAAGAGCGTCTCCAGCAGCCTCCAAGAGGGCTGCATGTGCTGACACACACACCAGCAGCCAATACCTAGAGGACAACTCCGCAGCTTCTAATCAGGGGAGAACAACAACTAGTAACAATGGTTCAGGAACAAGATTGGTGCTGCCACTCGGCTCCTTCTGCAAGAGCCAAACCTCTCTCGATGAAAGCAACAACTGTTACATCCCAGCCTCAAGCTGGCAATTCCTGCTTCGGATCCTGGCAGAGGAAATTTAGCCGTTCATTAGCCTTAACAAGCTGCTGTCATGAGGCGGAGGAGTTACAGGAGCAGCCACACACTGAGCCTCGTGCAGCCCTCCCCAAGGGCAAGTGGGTTTCTGCTGGACCGACTGTACAAGTTCACACTTCCCATGTGCAAATCCCGACTGTCTTCCTGGACTTTCCATGGTGCACACTGTGGAATGTTTAAAGACCCGTGCTCCCCACCCCACCCCCACCCCCACTCACCATCTTCCCTGTAGAATGTCCCCTCAGCAGCTCCTAATCGCTGCTGGAAAAACCACTGTCTCCGCACCAGACCCAGCCCTTTGCACTGACCAGCACTTTGCTTTATTCCACTTCACAAAGCCCGGTTAACTTGTCCCCAGCCCTGCTTCATCCTTGTTGGGACGCCCAGCCAACTTGGCATCCGCGCCGTAGGCATCCTTGGAGTTTTTCTAACTAGTTCTGGAAGACCCAGCTGCAGCAAGGATCCTATGTCACCCATTGTCCGGGGCTGTGCTACCCTACTGGAAAGGGACCCCAAACAAAAAAGAGAAACACGACATAGGCAAAGAGTGTTTCTTCTCCCGAGGCATTACACTGGGGTAGCCGAGGAAGCAGCGTCAGCCCCACAGACACAGCTTCCATCATCCTTGTAGAGCGATCCGCAAGTATCTTTTGTCACTACCTCCTCTCCCTTCTGCCCTCGTTCTAATCTCAAAAGCGAGCTCCTATTCATTATTGACACTCACTCATTACTGGGAAAAACGCTCCTGCCGCAGCTCCCCTACCCCCCCCCCATCTATCTGAGGTTCCTTAGTACCAGCTGAAAGACATGAATCTGATTTAAGGTACCAGCATGTTAGGGACGCTGTAGGTTGTCAGCGACGGCTCTTACAACCCCATACCCGCTCCCCACTGGGCTCCTCCGAACCCCCCGAAGTTCGGCCGATCTTTTGGGGTGAGAGGACAGGCAGCCCCGACAACGTGTGCGCAGGGACGTGTGCTGACTGAACCGCAGGCAGCCGGGACCCGCTGCTCCGCAAGGCATATTACCGGGGTCGGGTTTGGGGCGGGTGGAGAGGTAAGCGCATAGGACTGTCGCAGAAAAACATCTCAAACAAAACACAGTCCAAGGAGATACAAAAGGAAAATAAAAAGGAACAAACCAAAATTCAACCTCAAGCCCACACCAACGCAGCCCCTACGTCTCCGCCGCCGACACACGATTTACACAAGTAATTTAAATCATTCACCTGCTGCCAGGTCTCCTCCAGGGATGGCAAAGCTGAGAAGTAGCCGGTGTCGTGGACAAGTTGTAGCTCCTGGAATATACTATAACTAGCCAACACGTCCATGCTGCTGCCGCCGGGCACAACGGGAGGAGACACTCTCCCCCGGACACAGTCGGGGCTGTTTGTTTGTCAGTCTGTCTGGCTCACCCCCCAAGAAGGCAGACATCCAGTGGCCCTTTTGTTTTGTTTTGTTTTCAGTCAACTATAAAGGAGAAAAAAAATCAATGCAGGAGAGAGGGCGCGAGGAGGTGAGAGAGGAGAGAGTGAGCGGGGTGGATGGAGCGAGGCATCCAGCGTGTACAGTGCAGACCGCTGCCAGGAAAGGGGACTCCACGGGAGTAACAATTCCCTTCCAGGGCTCTGATCACTCCGGCGCGTGGATCGGGAAGGGGGATGCAAACTCACTGACACGAAGCTGCCATCTATTTCTGCAGCGCTGTTCGCTCCTAATGCAATCTTTGCTCTTTATTTTGGGAGGTTGCATTTTTTTTCTCGCGATCGCTTCTCTCCCCCCCTCCCTTCCCATCCTTCCCCACCCCCCACCCCATCCTTGCTAGTTTGTAGTCTCTCCCCCCTCCCCTTTTCTCCTCCTCCTGCTCTTCCCCCTCCCCAAACTCCCTCCCTCCGCCGGGCTCTGCGCGCAGCCGTGGGATCTCGGAGGAGGGCGTCCTTTAGGCCGCGTGTGACCATGTAAGGTAAACAGGGGGCTCATGAAGTCACTCAGGGCCAATAGGGAGCGCGGAGTGGGGCCCTGGGCGGGGCCTGGCTCGGACGGCGGACACCGATTGGCGCGTTGAGGATCTCCCTGCTGCCTTACAAGGCGGCGCGAGGCGAGCTATTTTTAGAGGGCTATATAAGGGGGCTGAGGCGGCCGCGCGGCGGCCGGGGAGCGTGAGCGCGAGGGACGGGGCGGGCTGTGGCGACGCTAGCGCCGGCTCCGGGGACGCCGAGGCGGCCGGGCTGGAGCGGCGCGCCGGCCTCCGACCCTCGCCCCGCTGTCCGGCGGAGCCCCGCGCGCCCACAGCCTGCGCCCTTCGTCGGGCAGGAGGGGGAAGCCCGGATTGCTGGGTCTGTCAGGGACCGCGGCCTCCAGGACCAGTCGTGGGGCTGGGGAAGGGACGCGGGGCAGCCCACGGGAGCCGAGACATTCCCCACCCCACCTGTCGCCCCGAGTCCCGGCTAGCGTCCGGCGGAACCCGGGGGGACTCTCACGTACTCAGAAATGAACAGAAAAAAAAGCACTAAAATAACCTTCACGAACACCCCACAGCTGCCGGCGCGCCGAGCGGCAGCGCCCGAGGAAGTGCCACACAATGGTCGAGAACAAAGGGGAGCGCGGCTCCGACGGCGGCCCGCCCCGCGCCAGGCCCCGCCCCGCGCCCGCCCCCAGGCTGCGGGGCCGACGCGGGCCTCGGGGGACTGAGAGCCGGCCCGGAGCCCGAGGGAGCCGGTCCGAGCGAGCGGCGGCTCGCGGGGGTCCGTGCTCCCCGCCGGGGTGCCTGGGCACTGCTGCCGGGGAGCTCGGAGCTGGCACGCAAACACCCGGTGGTCGCAGAAGCCGACACAGGGCACGCTGTTAGGGCTGACCGATGGCTCGTTTGACCTTAAAAGGTTCGCGTTGGTCCCGCTTCTCCCGGATGCGCAGTGAGCAGGACTTGCACTTTTCGAAAGAATGCAGCATTTGGTGCTTAGCGATGAGAAACTCGCTTCTGCCCATAACAGGAGACACTTTCACCTGAATGGACTTGCCCACTGTCGCTTTCCTTTTACTCTGGGGGAGGCTAGATATCAGAGTACGTCAAGGATGCTGCTTTGTAGAACCAGTTGAAATTCAGTATTTGCCAGGGGAAATGAAACAAATTACCGGGATGGAGGAAACTTTAGCTTTTTGGTTAGTGCCTGAAACTCTGTTGGTCGGATTTACAGCATTCGGGTGATTTCACTGTAAGGTTAGATGGCATAGCATGTCCAAGGATGCTGCTACGTATCAGCTGTGTGTCTCTGAGTCAGTTACCAGATCAGAGCCTCTGCCTTGCTGTGTCCATTGTTACGAGGTGTCAAAAAATTTCTATGACTTAAATAATTCTACCTCTCACTTGCTTTTACCTTTAGCTAAATGAAATTCTATGTGAAGTAGAGGGACTTTTGGTGGGTGTGAGGAGAGAGCATACCAGAATCTTGGGGGGAGGGTGGGTGTGCTCACCAATTTATAAATTTTCCATCCTCCTCCTAGCCCCCATACGATTCCAGGAGGATAGGGAAATGGGGTGAAGGCCATTAAGTTGCACAGGACAGAAGCTCTACAATAGGGAAAAGGAAAGGAACTTCAAATGCGAGGCGAAAGACGGGATGGAATAAAGGGTTTAATTTTGTGTTTGAGACTCAAGTGAGCATTATTGTTTTGCTACACTCTTACTGTTTTGATACAAATAAGACATGCTTGCTACTGGATGAATTTAAAGATTTTACAGATAAAACTGTTCATCATTTATTAAGTACAAACCCGAATGTTTCACATGCAGTGTCTCATTGCATCCCAAGTGCCCTGTGAATCCTGGCTGCTCCACTAGAATTTCCTTGGGTGACTCCGATAGTACCCTTTGTAAGTAATACTATAGGAAAACCCCAATAGTAACTTGCCAGTTACTTTCCAAGTATTTGAAAATAAGGATATTTTAGTAATAAAATAATAAAATTTAACACATAAATAGAAAGAGGCATCAGACTGTCATCACCAGGAAAGTCGTACTCCATTACTCAAGAAGCCCCATTATTATGATGTGATTGGTTCTGGGAAAGTCTCCTCAAAGTTAATCTTAAAAGAAGGGCCAGATTTCAGAGCAATTCATTTATTTTTTTTTCCCCCCTTAGGACTTCATCTGAACATAAACTATGAAAACATTTATTCTCTTCTATATGCAACTAAATTTATGCTGTAAGTACACATGTCCTAATTGCATAATGAATACATACTAAATCAAGAAAAATGTTGTTAGCTTAATTTTATCTACAAAATGCCAGCCACCTGTTTGAGCTCAGAGCACTGAACTCCAAAATATGACAGTTGAACATACAAAGATTTTGAGAGACAGGAAACTGGAGAACTAATGAAGTAAGAAAGTCTCTCTGCTCTTGCCTTAGTCATTTGAAATTGACTCTTCCGTGAATTCTAGAATTCCTCTCTCTATAAGCAAAGCATGTAGTATAAGAATGTTACTCTCCAATCTCCTGCCTTCTCCCTTAGGAACCACCTTCATGAACAGATGCATTGTCCCCTACCTGCAGGCCAAGAAGAATCTGAATGGTCCTTGCTAAATTCTGCCCACACTCTGAAACCTCCCGCCCCCAATATTTACAATAGATTATGTTCCCATTTTGACAATCATACCTTATGTGAGTTCTACTCTTCATTAAACCTAACCATAAATGTAGAGTTTCCCTGAATGTTTGGATCTTCATTTCTGAATGTTCCTATGTCACATAAAACTTTAATAAATTTGTTAAGTTTTTCTCTTGTGAACTTGTCTTTCGTTATAAGAGTGTCAGTCATGAATTTTACTACGGATGAAGACAAGATATTATTGTTCTCCCCACATGCCTTTGACAGACTTGATTTCATAATTGACTTTCGCAGCAGGATCAAAAAGATGGTCATCTTGTAAAAATGCTATATGGTTTCATCACCTCTCCCAAAGGCCTCAATTCGTTGATATTCAAAGTAAACTGAAGCAACCACAGAGTCGTCATCTCTGTTGCTTCTACCTTGTTAGTTTAATTCTTTTAAGATTTATTTATTTTTATTGCAAAGTCAGATATATACAGAGAGGAGGAGAGACAGAGAAAAATATCAGAGAAAAATATCTTCCCTCTGATGATTCACTCCCCAAGTGAGTCGCAACAGCCAGAGCTATGCCATTCCAAAGCCAGGAGCCAGGAGCTCTTTCGGGTCTCCCATGCAGGTGCAGAGTCCCAAGGCTTTGGTCCGTCCTCGACTGCTTTCCACACCACAAGCAGGGAGCTGGATGGGAAGCGGGGCTGACAAGATTAAAACTGCTGCCCATATGAGATCCTGCTGCGTTCAACGTAAGGACTTTAGCTGCTAGGCCACGGTGTGCGGCCCTTGTTAGTTTAATTCTACAGAACCTCTTTTGCCTCTGTCTTACCAACCTCACTTTCATTACACCTTGAAACCTTAAACTTGTGGCAAGATTTGTAATTTTTCCTTGCAATAGAATTGTAAGTTTCTGTGTTATATTGTAACTTCTGCCTCCTGGGGTGTGAATAGGGCAGTACTTTCATGTACTAATGGCTTTTGCTTCCTAGGCAATCTTACTATAATGGAGCAAGTGTGGACTTAGGAAGACTTCGATTATAGCAGAGAAAACATGTCAGTGAGGTTGCGAGCTAGCACGTGAGAGGCCGCCTTTAAATTGGGGGGAGGGAGGATGCACAGATGGCCATCGAGAAGAGTTTCATGATTTAGAAAACACCAGTGTCTTCATCAGTATTCACATGTCATGGGTAAGATATTTCTCAAGAGTATACATCTCTTCATTTTCCATTCTTTGCTCATTTTTTTTTTTTTTTTGGCTCATACTTTAGGTTTGCACTTGTTGTGCCTGCAGGGAAAGAATGTACTAGTTGTAATCACAAAAACTTGGTCATCATGACAGTACTTGTTATTGTCAGTTAATGCAAAAACATTTTGGTGACTTGTTTGCCCTTATTGCTCTAGACTGTTTAGTTAGCTTAGTTAGCTTAGGTTCATTCCAACGTCCTGGGTGTTTTCAGATTTGAGACCCTGACATGTTGAGGTTTTTGGATGTGGTGGGCCTAACTAAAACTGTCTTTTGAAGAATTAACCAAGAACTCTTACCTGGTTAGTCTGCTGATCTTCTCTAGCAAGCATCTCAGTCTTGCTTTTAGCTTTTCAGGATTCTGTGGCTTTGTTGTAGTAAATAAAGCATTTAAAATAAAGTGCCGGTGTCCACACCATGGCTTTATAGGTTAAGGCTCTACCTGCAGTGCCAGGATCCCATATAGGTAGAGGTTCAGGTCTTGGCTACTCTGCTTCTGGTCTAGCTCCTTGCTGGTGTGCCTGGGAGGGCAACTGAGGATGGCCAGGGTTCTTAAGCTGTTGCAGTCATGTGGGAAACTAGGAGGAGGCTTCAGGCTCCTGGCTTTGGAATGATCCAGCTGTGGTCATTGCAGCCATTTGAGGAGTGAATGAACGAGCAGTTGCAAGATTTTTCTCTTTGTAAAACTGCCTTTCAAATTAAAAACTAATATGATTCTTAAAAAAATAAATAAATAAAATGAGAAAGCCCATCTTGAAGGTTGAACCTTGCAGTGGCATCAAATAAAGAAGGTATAGGAACAACCTGTTGTCTGTGATTTGATGATGCTACTATAGGTGGGAA